AAAAAACTAGAGATGTTGTCTAAATGGATTGAATCCTTGCCTTGGAAAGTAGCTTAAATCTGCATGTTGTTTCATAATCTGTAAAATGGAAAATTTTTAAAATATGGAAAATGATGATAAATAATTTCAGCAAGACAAAGCATTTTAATTGTGTCACTCTAATCACTGGACTATGAGAAAATGTGGAAAAGTCTGCTCAAGTGCTTTCAGTTTTCCTGGAAAGATATCATTGTTATTATGAAATGGATTACCTATTATCATTGTGGACAGGATTAATGAATGTTAAAGTGGCAAGAGACTGATCTTGAAAATGTTTGTGAAATTTTTATAATATTAGTAACAAAGCAAGAAAATATAAGTAATAACATTTTATCTTAAGTCTTTGATACACACTAAAGACAGGTGAAAGAGCTGAGTTTGTCAAAATTATGGTACAGGAACAAGAGCAATTGATGAATAGAATCTATTTTAACAAAATGATGCAAAACAAAGCCCTCACATTTTGGCTTTCCTTTATTAGTCTCTGAAAATCTAAATCTAGAATGAAAAGATTTTCACCACAGGCAAAATAGTTCCTAGAACTTTTGCAACCTATTTCTATAGTTCTTTTTACTCACAAAGCCAGCTTTAAGCTATGTGCTGCATCCGCCTTGTGTTCTGAGAGGTGTGAAGGATGCCACAGAGGGGAAGGTGCTCCCTGCCTGCGAGGTACTTATCATCCATTTGGAAGATGAGAACAGTAAGTGGAAGAGATGGAGAACACCCTGCCATCATCTTGCTTTGTGTTTTGTATAAACCAATAAATAATAGGCAGCTTATAAAAATCAATATACATATGTAACAGAACTCAGAAAGCAACTACCATATCAAAGAGTAAGTGAGCCAGGTTACAATAGTTTCTTTCCAAATGCATGATTAAGTGTCTGTCAGCACTGGCATGGAACACAGACACTGACATTTCTCCTCCAGCCAAGCCAGGGAGGTGGTCATACTCAATGCTCAGCTGGCCAGTGAATAAAAAATGTTTTTTCTTCTCTTAAATTAAAAAAAGCATTTTTCCAGTTAGTTTACTTTCAATATTATTCTGTATTAGTTTCAGACATACAGCCAAGTGGTTAGAAAATCAGATGATGTTTTATTTTTTAAACGTGAATCTAATGGTTCAGTTTCTGAATTTCTCTACTATCTTTTCTTCGTATGCCAGGCCAGGTCTTCAACGGTGCTGCCATCACTAACCCGCAGCCATGAGTTCCGACCAGGAGATGGCTATTTTCGGGGAGGCTGCTCCTTACCTCCGAAAGTCTGAAAAGGAGCGCATTGAGGCCCAAAACAAGCCCTTTGATGCCAAGTCATCAGTGTTTGTGGTGGACCCTAAGGAGTCCTTTGTGAAAGCAGTTGTGCAGAGCAGGGAATCGGGGAAGGTGACAGTCAAGACTGAAAAAGGAGCTGTGAGTAAATATCACCTGGAGATGGTTAGACTGGCCTGCCTTTTGGCTTAGGTGAGCTGACACTGAGTTTTTGATCTGGCCTCTCTTACTTCGCAGACTGTTACTGTGAAAGATGACCAAGTGTACCCCATGAACCCTCCCAAATACGACAAGATCGAGGACATGGCCATGATGACCCACTTGCATGAGCCCGCTGTGCTGTACAACCTCAAAGAGCGCTATGCAGCCTGGATGATCTACGTGAGTGCCTTATCATGGCCTTCTGCTCATACAGGTAGTTAATATATTTTTAAAAATAGTAATTAAGTTCTTGATAAAATAATTATTATTTTTTCTTTTGGTGCAGACCTACTCGGGCCTGTTCTGTGTCACTGTCAACCCCTACAAGTGGCTGCCGGTGTATAATGCAGAGGTGGTGTCTGCCTACCGAGGCAAAAAGCGCCAGGAGGCCCCGCCCCACATCTTCTCCATCTCTGACAACGCCTATCAGTTCATGCTGACTGGTGAGTAGCTCAGCTGGTTCTCCTATGAATTATTTTACCACCTATAGTCAGAAAATGTTAAAACTATAAAGACCTTTAGAAATAATCTAATCAAACTCACTCGTTGTCCAGAAGAGGAGACTAAAACACAATGAGGTACATACTGTAAAAGCGGGGACTAAAACTCAGTTCTCCTGAGTCCACCTCCATGATCCTGCCAGTCCAGGAAATTGCCCCATCCCTATCAGTCTGCTTAGTCAGTCTCCCTGCTTGAAAAGATGTGATTTATTTTATATATTTAAGTAGCAAGAGTAAGATGAAGTAATAACTGTCTGAATAAAAATAAAAAAATGTGTTCAATCATTTTAGTGCCTAAGTTTCTTGTTGATGCTTTTAGAAGTACTTTTATCTCTTTAAATCATCAGCGCTCACTTCAGATACGATATCCTTTCTTTGAATGAAGGGGTGTTTAAGGGCTACAGGCATATACACAGAAATTGTTATTTTTCCCCTTTAAAAAGGTTTTACTCTGATTGAAGCACCCTCTTTCACTTGCTCTTTCTTTGACCCAATGCCATACTTTTGGGAAGACTGAGCAGTTAGGGTTGCAATCTGGGGCCATGACACAAAGGCGTGTGTGTGTGTGTGTGTGTCCAATGTATCCATTAGAAAGTAAATCTCAACCTTAGCTTAATACTATTTTAACCAATTAAACTACAGCCCAAACCCTTAGCATATTGTGCATTTTCCAGTTGCATGCATTATCAGCAGTCAGCATGACACTGAAATCCACACATGACAACTAGGGAATGTATCTGCCTTTGCAAAGTACTATTCTTTATTGTAAACCAGAAGGACACACTTCCTGTGGGGGCTTAAGGAATTTAAGATATGACAACACTTTATGTTTTTTTCTTCCTCAACTTAAGAATAATATATATACCTTTACAATAATATATTTAAAAACTTCATTGGATATGACACGTATGCTCAATGTCCTAAGTGTTTCCCTATACAAAGTTTTGTTTGGGTAACTGGTAAATATGCTGATTGTCCACTGTTTTTCTTCCAGATCGGGAGAATCAGTCTATCTTAATCACGTATGTATTCCTATGCTGAGTCTTATTAGTATTTTATTCTCACTGGGATAATAAAAACCAAAAGAAGAAATTTAGCCCACATACTAAAGCAACAGCATAATCAGCCTAAAACTAGATACTGTTTTCACTTTATTGTAGGATTTTAGAAGGTATCAGAATGTAAAATAACAATGCCACAAATTACATCATTCTAGTCCAATCTTGAAAGTTCCACAGGACTTACCTGGGAGAAGGAGATACAAAATCCATTCTCCGGACATGGCCTAAACCCGGTACAGCTCAGTGATCAATGTATAGCCTTCTGAAGGTTAAGCATTTTGGAATGTTACCAGTGGTTTTTAAGGCCTACTTGAGGAATGTCTATTCCTCCCAAGACCTAACTTGAGCCATATCTTTGGTCTAAGGAAACTGAAGAACACTTGCATTTTTTCATAGTTTTTTAAATCAATGGTTTAATTTCTTACCTAGTTGTTGAGTGGCTGCTTTTTGGACCACTCATGCCCAGGCCTCAGCACCTAGAAGAGAGCCTGGCATATTTTAAGCACTAAAGAAATATGTGTTACATGAATAATGAATTAATGAATTTATATCTTGTCAATGATAAGCAACAGAAGTAATATGAGCTTTATGTAGGCACAGAAAAAGATCTAGGAGACTCTAATAAAGGCATAAAATAGATGCATAGGTAGTAAATGCTTATGGTGGAAGTAGTTTTATGGCTTAATTTCTCATATTTGCTTGGTCACCATTTGACAGCGGAGAATCTGGTGCAGGGAAGACTGTGAACACCAAGCGTGTCATCCAGTACTTTGCAACAATTGCAGTTACTGGGGAGAAGAAGAAGGAGGAAGGTACTGGCAAAATGAAGGTGAGTCCAATACTACAGTTAGAATCAAGACTGTCGGGGCGCTTAGGAAGTGGGAAACCTCAGATGTGAGCACTGCTCTTGCCTTTGCAGGGGACACTGGAAGATCAAATCATCAGTGCCAACCCCCTGCTGGAGGCCTTTGGCAATGCCAAGACCGTGAGGAATGACAACTCCTCTCGCTTTGTAAGTGTCTTGGTCACAGAGGGCTTTTCTCAGCCGTTAAATGCCAGAGAAAGCATGTCTGAGTTTTCATTTCAATCTCATCTTTCTTGTGTGCTGCAAGCTTTGCACATAATATCTTTTTTACTTGCAAGGGTAAATTCATCAGGATCCACTTTGGTACCACAGGGAAACTGGCTTCTGCTGATATTGAAACATGTGAGTAACAGGACCTCCGAAATAGAATCCAAGAATGACAAATGATGGTTTGGAGGGACATCTTGCAGCTTCTGCTGAGCCTAGAGCTTGTTTAATACCATTCTGCTGCCAGACATGCCCACAGTTAATGCCAATCTTAACCAGAGTCCACAGTGTACTTTATTCACGTCAGTCATGAGCTAATGATTCTGTAATAACTGCCAGGAGCTGTTAGGCTTGTCTGAATTATTCCAGCCTCAGAATTGACCTCAAAATTTTCTAAGAAAAAACCCCAAACTAACACTAGGGATAAATGAGTTGCCTCTGGGTGGAATATGTCTGATTGCTTCCAAGTCTGAGCCTTGACAAATTTCACTCTTAGTATTCCCTCTATTATAAAGTGAGAAGAGATCCCGGGGAGGAGGAGTTAAAGAATCTATTATATTTCATGCATCCGGCATCTTCTGTATGAGAAATGAATATGCCTTGGGCCAGCAAGCTTTAGTTTCTTTCTAGAGATATAAGAGTAACTGCCATTGTAGAGATGTTCTATGTGGTACCTCATGGGAACATTCAGCTGAAATCGCAAGGGGCCAATAAAATAGAACTGATGACCATAATGCCAAGTCACCCCAGGAACTTTACAATTTCCCTCCAATCTAATATCTACTTTCCACTGCAGATCTTCTGGAGAAGTCCAGAGTTACTTTCCAGCTAAAGGCGGAAAGAAGTTATCATATTTTTTATCAGATCATGTCTAACAAGATGCCAGAACTGATTGGTAAGAAATATCTTAAATTCACAGATGAAAGCTAATCTTTTTTTTATTAAAAACCTGTAATGTACAATGTATCCCCTAATTTCTATGTCCCCAAAAATGCTCCTGATCCCCACAAACTCATATGACTATGCCTTTGTCAGTCAAGGGGAGATCACAGTCCCCAGCATTGATGACCAAGAAGAGTTGATAGCCACGGATGTAAGTTACATATGCAGGTTTTTAAAAATACATTATGCATGGGAATGACAATAGCAACCTACTGTAGGTGTGTGGTAAGTCTGCTGATCTGCTCAAAGCCCTTTGCTACCCCAGGGTCAAGGTCGGCAATGAGTATGTCACCAAAGGCCAAACTGTACAGCAGGTAAGCCCACGACCTTAATGAATGACACATATCCTAAGCCTTCCCAACATGTCTTTAATAACATCAAGTTATTACTCTGAAGGTGATCAATTCAGTGGGTGCTCTGGCCAAAGCCGTCTACGAGAAGATGTTCCTGTGGATGGTCACCCGCATCAACCAGCAGCTGGACACCAAGCAGCCCAGGCAGTTCTTCATCGGGGTGTTGGACATCGCTGGCTTTGAGATCTTCGATGTGAGTCATCAGAAACTTTGAGCAGGGAAGTTTACAAATCATGCTGCTGCAATCAATATTGAAAAAGGTCTATGAGAAATAGCTGTACTACAAACTAAATAGGCATGTGAAAGAAGACTAAAAGTCCATAAAAGGGCACGAACTTGGAATGAGATAGGTCTGGACTCAAACTCCAACTCTGTCGATTCCTACCTAAGTAAACTTGGATGATGGGAATGGTATCTGACCAATCACAGGACAAATTCAACTAGGACCGATAAGTAAATCACATATTACTTCAAATAGCACACTTACTTCTGAGATCATTCTGCCAGTTATGAGCTTGTTGTATCTTAATCCCTAAGCATAAACTGCAAGCACATAGTACTTGATAAGTGATAAAGAAGGTAATGAGGACAACAAAGATGACAGTGGGGAAGACAATGACAAATTCAAAGGGAGATTTCAAGGCTCCTATCTGCCCTGAAATATCCAGGTATAGAGGATGAATGTGGTATTGCAAAATAACTCAAATTCATCTGCCTGAGAGAGAATACCTCAAATATAGCTTAGGAAACAAGGGTATCGAAGTGAAGTCCTCTACCTGACAGCAATATCTCAGATGTGTCTGATTCACAAGTAGAATTCCTATACCTTTTCCTGACTGGTAGACACTGGAGGAATCTCTCTCAGTTTTAGGAACAAGATCATTTCCAGAAATTCCCAAGCCCACATGGGAATGAATAATCGGGCACCAAGCAGGAACAAGAACCTATCACACTTTTTTAAAATAAGAAAACTAACAACACTGCATACTTGCAATGTCTTTGAGTTTTTTAATAGATTTATTAATAATAATTCACATACCATTAAATTTGCCTATTTAACTCAATGGTTTTTAATGTATTTACAGATATGTGCAACCATCACAATAATCATTTTTAGAACATTCTCATCACCCCAATAAGAAACCCTATTCTGTTAAATCATTCCTCACTTCCCGCCCCCACCCCTCCAGCCCCAGCCCCCTTGGTACCACTAATCTCCTTTCTGTCTCTATGGATTTGCCTATTCTGGACATTCCATAGAAATGGAACCATACAATACATGGCCCTTTATGATCAGTTTCTTTCACTTCGTATAATGTTTGCAAGGTTCTTCCGTATGGTAGAAGCTCCTTGACTTCTGTGTATAGTGACACTATTCTAACACAATAGCATTCACAATTGTTTTTAGGTTTAGGTGTTTTGAGTAGTAAAGCAGAGCAGATCTCCTCAAGTTCTAGTACTGGGTACAAACACTGGCTCTGGTGTCAAAGCTTTGAAGCCCCACCATGCCCCTCACCAGCAGGATCTGGCTCAGGTTGCATAACCTCTCTCACAGTGTTTCCTCACCCATGAAATGGGCAAACAGTACCACCTTAAAAAGGCAGCTGTGAGGATCAAATGCAATAATTTATATAAGCACTTAGCACAGAGTCTAGCACAGGGGTGGGCAAACTTTTTGACTCGAGGGCCACAATGGGTTCTTACACTGGACCGGAGGGCCGGAACAAAAGCATGGATGGAGAGTTTGTGTGAACTAATATAAATTCAAAGTAAACATCATTACATAAAAGGATACGGTCTTTTTTTTCAATAGTTTTATTCATTTCAAACGGGCCGGATCCGGCCCACAGGCCGTAGTTTGCCCACGGCTGGGCTAGCATATAGTAAATGTTCAACAAAGGTTAGCTATTGAATTTTTATTCCTATTATTAATAACAACACACAGACCATAGTGACTCAGATGTATCAACCTTAGCTAGTTATACGACATAATCAGAGAGATAAGTTCCTATGAAATATATATAGTGAAAACCAAATAGTTGTTTTATTGCAATAAGGAGTATCATTCAGACCCTGTTTATTCCTACTTAGGAGATACTTCCAACGAGGGTGCTAACACTTCCTCACCCACAGCAGCAAAAAAAAGACAGGCGGGATGAAGGCATACCATCCTGAGGGCAGTTGGGCTTACCAATTAAGAAAAGCCCCTATCCAATAGAAGCTTTTATTATAAAATTAACGGTAATTTGTATTTTATACTTA